CTTTGCATCAGGAGTGCTATCCGCATTGAGAGGTTGGGGTTGTTCAGTTCTTAATGCATAGTCAAGATCCATGCAGCCAAGAACAATTAATATGTTCTCTTTCCAAACCTTGAAGTTTGTCCCATTTAGCATGGGAATTGAGTTGATGTTAGCAGAAATTGTTGCAGCAGATGCATTAGCTGAAATAAAACAAAAGAATGCTCACATCAATAACCATAATCAATAAAATTCAAATAATGACAATCCCCATCCAAGATACCGGCACAACATTAATATCAAGTCTTTGGACAGTAATATTAACTTGTAAGTGATACCTTGTTGCAATGATCAAACATTGACAATAACTCATGTCAAATAATGAAACTATCTTTGGATCGATTCATTATTCACATGTAAACCTTATAATTGTCACACGCTTATCATCGCAGATGTGTATACAGTCTAAATAAATATTAACCTTCCTTTGGGCCGATTAAATATTTACACGAAAGCATACACACAAACATCTCACATTCCTCATGAACAATCTACACAAGAGAGGTTACTTTGGCAACTTCTTGTTTCAATTAATCAATTGGAGTGAGAGACAACCTTAATACCTTAGTGTCATAATATTTGAATTAAATAATTGATTAAAAACCGAATTAGATTTAAATTAAAAAATTTAAATCAACTGAATTTCCAAAAACTTAATTGGGGTCTCACAGCTTAATTAGGGCCCATAACTTAATTGAATAAATTAAGTATACCAAAGTGGACCCATGAAAAGCCGAGGCTTAACCATAATGAACACGAAGTTCCCTTAACTTCGAACGCGAGGTTCGACTGTATTGAGTACGAGACTCACTTAAGCACGAACGCGAGGTTCGTCTGAAAATGAACGAACGCGAGGTTCGTTTGATAAAAGAACGCGAGGTTCAACTTGGGAACGAACGCGAGGTTCGTTAAAAAAAATGAACGCGAGGTTCAACTGAAGTACGAACGCGAGGTTCGTCTGAAGTACGAACGCGAGGTTCGTCTGAAGTTCGAACGCGAGGCTCGACTGAAGTACGAACGCGAGGCTCGTCTGAAGTACGAACGCGAGGTTCGTCTGAAGTACGAGCTTGACGCTCACCTGAGTTGAACGCGAGGTTCACCTTAGAACGAACGCGAGGTTCGTTAAAATTGAGCTTGACGCTCACCTGAGTTGAACGCGAGGTTCACCTTAGAACGAACGCGAGGTTCGTTAAAATTGAGCTTGACGCTCACCTGAGTTGAACGCGAGGTTCACCTTAGAACGAACGCGAGGTTCGTTAAAATTGAGCTTGACGCTCACCTGAGTTGAACGGAGGTTCACCTTGGGAACGAACGCGAGGTTCGTTGAAATTGAGCTTGACGCTCACCTGAGTTGAACGCGAGGTTCACCTTAGAACAAACGCGAGGTTCGTTAAAATTGAGCTTGACGCTCACCTGAGTTGAACGCGAGGTTCACCTTAGAACGAACGCGAGGTTCGTTGAGCGCGAAGCTCGGTTAAAATTGAACGAACGCGAGGTTCGTTTGAGGTAACCACCTCCTTAATTTTCGCCATGAACCCTTAGGGTTTCAAATTGAAACCGCCGCCGACAAACCCCAAAAAACCTTTGATTTTTTATTTTCAAAACAGATCCAGAATTGGAAAAAATTGAAGGAAAAATCAAAGAAAAATCCAAAAAATTCCCAAAAGTTACTGTTCACAGGCGATTTTTCAGTTACTGTTCATCCGAAAAAATACTTTACTTCGTTACTGTTCATCCGAGAACATTACTGTTCATCCGAACCCAAAAATTAAATCTTTAACCAGAGATTTAAGATCAAAAACCCAATAAAACTTAAATCCCTAAGAATTAATTAAGGTGGCTCTGATACCACTTGTTAGATCTACATCATAAAACTTGAGATCTAAAACCATATAGCCATGATTAATTCAAAGAGATTAACAAAATCAAAAGAGAGCGGAAGCTTATACCTGAATCCATAGATTGATCTTGATTTTGGGTTTTGGATCTTCTAACCTTAGGGTTTTCTCTTTTAGCCGAATTTCTCTAGCTAGATGGGGGTGTAGAGAATTAGAGAATATAACCCTAGGTTAGGGACCATAACCCCTTATTTATAGATGTTGTACTTTTGTAATTTAGCCCCTCAATAAATTACAATTACAACCTGGTATCTGCACATATAACCCCATGACTTATTTAAATAACAAATTAACCCAACTTAATTGATCACTTTAGTGGGTTATCCTGAAAGATAGCAATACACATTGATTAATCATATGTGCCCACAAATAGATTTATTAGATTAAATCCAACAGAGAGTTAGTCGATTGAGTAGAAACTTTTGGTGTTTCCAGCCACTTTTATCAGTCGACTAATGACATTGTCAGTCGACTGATAACATGTACATGGTCAATTTTGATTTAAAAATCTGATTTTCAAAGGTGCTTTAAAAATAGCAAAAAATTTCAAAAATTATAAAATTTGGGGAAATGTTTATAAACATGAAAATAAACACATGTTACAAAAGAGATTTTTCAAATATCATTTTTTGTTTGTGAAAACTCATCATTTTGCAAAAACTCAAAAATACATGTTCGTTTAAACACTTCATTTTAACAAAATGACTTAAACTAAGTTTCGAAATCTTTTGATTGGATTTATAGACTTAGGAAAAGATAGAAACTAGTATTATTAAGTCCATAAATCAAGAATACATTATTTTCCCAAAAATGCACATATTTTGATAAAATCTGTTTTGTGTGTATGTGTGTGTATAGAGTTAGAGATTGAAGTATTTACACACTAAATATAACACCTAAACTAATATACCCAAGTTGATTGCATATGAATCTTGATCTTGAATCTATGACTTGATTTGTTGGCTTCATTTGAGATATCGTCATTGCGAAACTTTTTCAACCTGGATACATGCTAAACAAAAATACTGGAAAATACACAGTTATAAATTGTTTGTTAATCATCAAAACTAGATTAGATAGTAGGCTCATAAACATGAGTCCTAATAGTTTTCACATCTGTTGTACGTGCATTTGCACGTGTAATAATGCTAGTACTATATATTAAAAATATTATAGAGGTAAGAAATTTTGTAGCACTAGAATAAATTTGTCCTTCGTTCAATTAAAAACAAGAGGGAATTTTCATCTTTTTACTATAGTTTAAAATACTTCACGCCTTCCCAGTACGCTATCTATCTTTTCCACATAATTAAATCACGCATTCCCTCCCTAACAAACTCGGACAAAAAAAAACTTTAAAAATAAACAATTTATGAGTAGATCCAACCTCATTAGGTGATTTGTGCATCATAAGCATCATAAATAAACTTTAAAAATATAATACACTATGACAGAATGATGGTTATGAGGTGAAGACTTATTTAGCAAAATAAGCTTTTAAAGGACAGATTTGTGAGGTCCGCATATTTTGATATGATTAGCAAAGTGGGAATCATCACATGACTATCTATTGATAACTTATTTAACAAAATAACCCGTTCAGCTCATGCTCATTGTTTCTGTTATGAAACTACAATTATTAATAGTAAAGATCTTAGCTAGCTCAGAGGATTTTTTTTTTATATCAAATTCAACCTTAAATTTTTTTATAAAATTCCTAATGATGGACAACTAAATTTATTCTTTTATTATAATCTAAATCTTTGGAAATTAGAAGTTTGAAAAATGATGGACCCTATTGAAAGAGTCACATATTGTATCAACCGTATGCTATTTTCTATTGGCATACAATAGGGGCAATTTTGTACTTTATGTTTTAGGAGCTGTTTCGTTCGCTTTTGTGAGCCGCAGAATTGCTTTTCTCCTCCTGACTGCCGCTCCACGTCGACAAAACTCATTCTAGGATTTTCTTTTCCCAGCTTTGGTTCGCTTCTTCCCCCTCCCTCCAGCCGCGGAAATCTCCTCCACCTCAGATTTTTTTTCTTTCCCCCATTTCCTTCGAAAACGAGAGGAAATCACCCCTGATCTGTACTATTGTCAGATCTCGGGGTTTTGGGGGCACTCTTCACGCCTTGGTTTCTCTTCGAGACCTGCGAGAGTTCTATACCGTTGATTTTGTGCTTGATTCCCATAGAAGAAGGTCCTACTTCCTATTTGTTGGTGTTTTTGCTGAATTTTGATAAAAAACCAGCACCTTTATTGGGAAAAATTTTCTGGTTTTTTGTCGACTTGGATCTTCCTAGATCTTGCTATATTTCAGACCTAATGTATGATTCTCAACTCAGAATTGATTTGCTGAAAATTTTGTATGATTTAGAATTATTATGATGAAATCTTGCATTTTCTATAATTATCTAAAAATTAACTAAAAATTATCTCAAAATATGACTGCAATTAACTGAAAATATTACTAAAATTAACTAAAAATTATATTAATTATTATAAATATAACTAAAAATATTACTGAAAATGTTACTAAAATTAACTAAAAATTATCTTTAATTATCTAAAATTAACGAAAAAAATATTATTGAAAATGTTAACTAAAGATTAACTTTAGATAGAGGTTCACATCATTTTTAGAATATGATGCAGTGATAAAGTTGTATAATTAACTAAAATTTCTTCTTTATTGTCCAATGCTTCATGGGGTCTTAATTGATAGAAGTTTTGATTATTGACATTGCATATGGATGCTTGCTAGGTATATTAATTATTTTAATTTGATGTTTGCATCGTAGGTGGATGGTGATGAAGATTGTATCAATGAACAAAGTGTTGTTAATATGGTTCAAGGTGCTACACTATCTGTTTTTGTTATAATAATTACATTCATAAGGAGAATGCAAGCTAGACGTAAATCAATTCGTAGTGGTCCAGGTGAGGCAAAAAAGACAAGAGAGAGCTAGAATTGAATACATAGAGCATATTTATAATGGTTTTAGTGATAGTTGTGTAAACTACATTAGAATACGGAGTGATGCTTTTGTTAAACTAGCAAGTATAATGAGGAACAACAGGCTTCTAAAGGACTCAAGGAATATAACAGTGGAAGAACAACTTATCATGATACTGAACATTTTAGATCATAAATCTAAAAATCGCATTGTGAGATCTCATTTAATAAGATCGGGGGAGACAGTCAATAGATATTTCAACAAGGTTTTACAAGTAATTATTTGCATGCGTGGACGCCACATGAGACAAGCCCCCAATGATACTCCCCAAGAGATCGTTAACAACCAGCTATACTATCATTATTTCAAGGTATATCTACACTTTAACCATATATATAATCAATGAAAATAAATGATATCTTAGTAATGTGATACACGTATTATAGGATTGCATTGGTATGATAGATGATACTCATGTTGATGTAATGCTTCCGATTAATCTTGTTGCACGATTTCGAGACCGCAAAGGTGTTACACAGAACGTGCTTGCAGCTTGCACCCCAAACAAACTGTTCACATATGTCTTAGCAGGTTGGGAGGGGTCTGCAAATGATTATAAGATTCTCCAGAATGCATTATCTAGACCACAACCACATGGATTTAAAGTCTATGATGGTAATTATATAAAATTTTAACTTAAAACATTTTAAATTTAATATACAAACTTGACTTCATTAACAATTTTTTTAATAAAATTGTAGGTAAATACTATCTGTGTGATGTTGGGTACTCCACCATGCCAGGTTTCATATCTCCATACCGTGGTGTTCGATATCATTTGAAAGAATATTCGGGTAAAACACCTAATAATAGAAGAAAATTATTCAATCTAAGACATTCTTCTTTGAGGTCTAAGATTGAATCTGCATTTGGTACATTGAAGAATCGTTTCAAGATTTTGTGTGCTAAGCCGCATTACACATTTCCTATACAAGTAGATATCGTATTGGCATACATGGTACTTCATAATTTTATTGTAATTGTTGATCCAAGTGATGAACTACTCAACGAGTCCGAAATTAATGAAGATATTGATGGTGAGGTGACAAATGAAAATGATAATAATTTAGTTAATTTTATTCAGACTCAAACCTAAAAAGAGCAAACTGAATCAAGAAATGAGTGGAAGACTCTTAGGGATGACATTGCTTGGGCGATGTGAGTGGTCTACTGTGATGAGCATAATCATGGTGTAACCATTGAGACTTAATTCTCATATTTGTTGTACTATTTATGCTCATGTATGTACTCTTAACTCTATGATTTGGTTTGTCCACTTATTAGTTTTTGTTTTTCATTCATGTATTTATGTGATACTTCTTCCGGTTATTATATTTTGCCTTTCATTCATGTATTCATGTTTTAATTAGTGATGGCTGATAATACCTCATTAAGTGGGAAAGATAATCGTAAAGAGAAAGGTGTAGCGCCATCTCAGCCTCCACCCCCTCAGTCATTGCATTAAGGTGATAGTGGGTATTTTACTTTTCAGCAATCATACTTTGGACAACCACCTCATGCATTTCCCAACATGTCATTCCAGGATGACAGTTACTTCTCGACGCACCCTCATTTTGGTTCATATACGAACATGCTAAGTTCTCTTACTTTTGTTAGCCTTGTTAAGTCTCATGTTTAAGAGCCTACTCCCTACCCTAATCTTGTTTTGATGATTACAAACAATTTCTAACAACGTTTGTCAAATATTTATATTTGATTGTTAGGTTATCTACACAAATATCCAAGTTGGAGGTTGGATGGAATTGCGTCATAACGATCATATCAAATGGAGGTTGACGAAAATAGTGGATTGAAGCCAATTACAATTCAAGTCATATACAAGATCAAGCTTCGTCTATGTTACCAAGATCGAGCATCATGAAGATCATTGCTTGATAAATTAATTTATGGTTTATATTATGTGTGTTGATACTTTAAGCTCAATATGATACACACACAATTTATTGGTTTATCTGTTTTCTTGTTTTATCCACAAACTAAGTTTTTACAAGCAAAATAAGTACTTGTATACATACATGTTTGTTTTCTTGTGGATAAATGGTTTTGATTTTGTGATATAGATATAAAACAAATATATATTCATATACATATGTTATGTTTCATATTTATCATTTTATCAAATGCATATATTCTGCAAAACTTTATTTTTGCATAACATTGAGTTTTTAGTTTGTAGACTTCATAACAATATTTTATATTATTTTATTAAGTCTATAAAATCATTTTACAAAGTTTTAAAATTGTGTTTAAATCAATTGTCAAAAACATGTATGTTTAGTTTTCATGTTTTTGGAATGTTTTTGCAAAATGAAGAGATTTCTCAATTGGGAAATGTAATTCCAAAAATTCTTTTTGTAACATGTTCATTTTCATGTTTACAAGTATTCCTTAAAAATTTTACATTTTTCAGAATTTATTTGCTATGTTTAAAAGAGGTTTGAAAATCAGATTTACTGTTTGTTTCTGGCTGATAACTTATTATCAGTCGACTGATGGATTTTATTAGTCGACTGATGAACTCACCTAGAATTGTCAAAAGTTTTTGTTTTTGTGACTGATAAACTATCAGTCGACCGATAAGCTGTGAGATGCATGTAACGATCAACTCATCAGTCAACTGTACTGTTCATCAGTCGACCGACGGCTTTCCAACGACTAGTTTTTCCAGATTTTTAGGTTTCAGTTTTTTTATCTTTTTCCTTGGCTTTCTCTTGGTTTTGGGCATTGTTCTATGATTCTCTATATACCCCATACCCTCTAACTTCTGAGGGTAATTAAGAAAGTTTTTAAACAAGTTTAAAGCATGTTTAAAGTTTGTTTAAGTGTGTTTACAAGTTTTGTTTGTGAAGAAGTTTTCGCAAGGGCTTGAAGAGATCATCATTTGGTGTTTGAGCTTCATCTCATCTATATCTCTCTCCCTCTCTCTCTCTTTTGTCATCTTAGAGAAGTGTTTCTAAACTCAATCTAGCTTTACATTTATATAATTGTTTGATTATCATTTTATTAAGCTAGAGTTTATATTGAGTTTAGTTTTGATTTTGTTCTCTTTGTTACACACCCACTTGAGCTTTTAGTATTTTCATACATAATATATTTAGGTTGTGAGAGATTGTAACATTGAGTTGGGCTTCATTGTACTATGTGGACATTTCAAGAAAATCATGATTTTGCATAATGGTAAGAATCTAGAGGTGGCTGCGTGCACAAATATGATGGCTACAATAAAATTTAAAGATGGAATGAAAAATCATGACTCGGTTTGGCATATATGTAAATTATTTCACATCAACCTGTGAGAAGACTTCAACGTTTTACAAGAGAAGTACAATGTGGGCATTTCAAGCAACAAATACATACTCGAGTTCCATGAGGAAGACGGATACAAGAGAAAAATAGTATCACTGGGCACTCACAGAACAAATTGCATTAAGCAGTAATTAGCATTGTGCTATAGATCTACTTTAAACTTAGAAGAGAGAAATAGTATACAACAAGTTATGTACCTTCATGAAGCAGAGAAGCCTACTACTGGGAGCCCTTTGTCCATTCTTCAGGGATCAGAATGGTATTACATATCAAACAGTGTGAAGAATTTGCATCTCCAGATAAGCCTAGGAAACTGGGCCAGCGGCATGCACGTACACCAATACACGTATGAGTTGCCTATATGGCTGAGTGCATTTGAAGGATGAGTTTACTCCAAAATCAATGTGAACTTCAGATGTGGCACAAGAAGATTGTGCACTTGAAAGGATGTTGAATTCCAAAGAAAACTGAGCATGATTTATGCAATTGTCAAAGGAATTAGAAACAAGTGAAAACTTGACACATGTCCTCACTTATACAGCCAAGAAAACCAGGACCAGTGCCTCTTGCGTACTTCAAATCCAGAATGGGCTGTGGATGTGGCCTGAGATAGTTGTGCACTTGAAATTGTGGCAAGTTCCATAAACATACTCTGCGTGATAATTCATCCCCACAAGCGAACAATGGGGCATTGCCGTCAGTGGATATAATTGCAGATTTCGACATTCTAACCTCGCTTACATTACCAGTTCCCATTGAATAAGTCTCGAATGATGCACCATTTATCCTCTTTATGAGGACATGAGAACCTAACTTCCCTGATGTAGAAAGTGTTGGTGAAGGTGATATTGGACTCTGTGAAGAAATGATATCACTAGAGAAATCAACTTTAGGACGAAAAGAGGCTACTAAATCATCACTTGAACTGCTGCAAGCAAGTGATATGCATACACCATATTTGTCAGTTTCTGGTATTAAGAAGGGTCTGCAATTGAGACACATAGTACAATCATTTCCAAAAATGAGGAGAAATTAAACAGAAGACGAAAAGGAAAAAAGCTTACAAGTGTATAACATTCTCTGTTCTATACATGGTGCAGAGCTTATTGTAGGCATGCAAATTTGCAATAACAAATTGAGAGAAAAAAAACTTCTACGAAAAAAAAAAGATTATAGATTCTTAATAAGTACTTTTAAGGTTTACTGCTTTGATATCAGAAAAATAAGAAAGCAAAAAAGGAAGGCAAAAGCTTGGCATGCTAGTCACATACCAAATCCTCAACAGTATTACAAGGCTGTCTTGAGATTGAAGTTTAAGTGCATATGGAAAGCCAATTCAAGTGGGCAAAAAACTTTATATGTGATTCAAGTAGTTATGACATGCCAACATGAAAGAATAACAAAAGATGTTTGGCTCAATTATCAAATTTCCTTTTCTTGAAGCCTTCCAAGATGCATTGACATTCAGATGATTAAAATAAAAACACTCAAATAACAGATATTTAAATAATCTGAAATGGTTAAAGAGGTTTTTTGACCTGTCACTCAGGATATACTTTATAGGTAATAACTCCTACTGGTGGGTTAAATAAAACACAGTTTATATGTATTGCTGATGACCAGATAGATTAACGGTCATAAAGAATGCCATGGGGCAAAAAGGTTAGAATATCACATACAAAAATTAAACAGCCAGCACATGTTGCATACAGGAAGAGATTTATGCAGTCATCATCAACTAACCAGTCAAAATTCTAAAATTTCTCCTGATGATTTTCTATACACAAATTCTAAAATTCCTCCTGATGATTTTCTATACAGGAAGAGATTTATGCAGTCATAGTCAACTAACCAGTCAAATTCTAAATAAGTTTAGAATTTGAACGCATTTCCACCACACAAAAGTTTGCTTACCAAACAAAATAATTAATTACCGTTCAGGATTTATTATAATTGTACTTGATGGGCCATTCATTTTCAGTAAAGTGTAATCTCAAAACTCTCCCAGCAAAGGATGTTAGACCAGATATGGTGAATGTCATGCGCAATATCTGGACAAGCGACAGAACTTGACTGAAAACAGGAATCTTCAATTATATGATAGACTCTTTACAAATAGTTGGTTATAACATAACCAATGTACAAAAAAAACCTAGAAAAGATCAGTGAAAATATGGAAGATAATCTTATAATAACTTCAGTAGAAGTTCAATCAAACTCGAATATAAACCCCTCTCATAATGGGTTAAAGTTTCATTGGCTTAATAGCATAAACATGGTAAAACATTCAACAAAACAAAAAAAAATAAAATAGATGTTCAAGAAATTGATAAGATCTAAGACAAAAAGAGTTGATTCGAGAATTGCAGGTCATCGGACATGAGCAAATGATGACAATGCAGAGCTGATTGAGCAGGATGTCCTTTGTGTCATAGCTTAGAACATGCTGAATGCAGATGATTACGATCGTAGGTGTTTGATGTACTTCACGTTGTTCTCTTATTCTTTCTTTCCAAGAGAATTGAGAAGTGTCATGTTATGAGGAAGGGCTCAGAATAAACAGAGTGAGGATACCCAACACTATGGTGAGATCTTCCAGCTAAAGGGGTACAATCAATAACTTCTCTATCTACAATCACATAAAGTAATGCAGATGTATGAAGTTTCTTGTGCAGCACAATATGCTCATGGGAAAGCAGGAAATTCCTATTTGGAAAACAAGTAACGAGCTGCTGAAACTGAAAATTGAGCCATAAAAAAAGTAGTTATTACCAAGAAAGAAATCTACATGAGTGTAACTAATGTAACTATCAGTGTTGTAAAACACGCTCTGAGCGGCCGCCTAGGCGCCCGCCTAGGCGGAGGCGGTGCCCAGAGCGTGCAAAAATGCCCTAGCGGGCCGCTTAAGCGGCCCACCCACGATTTCAAGCCCAAAAAATTGAGTTGGGCGCTCCCAAAAACCCGAACCCAGAAAAAAATGCAAAACCCAAAACCCAATACCCAATACCCAAAACCCAAACTCAAAAGTAAAACTAACCCTAAATCTGTTTCACTTTCACCTGACGCCGCTAGCAAAAAAAATCTTCGATCTCTGCCAAACCCAAGTGCGCGTCTTCAATCTTCCGACCGAGCTCGTCTTCGACTACCTGGGAGATCGACGATCGTCTTCGAGCTTAACTTCCAAGCTCGTCGTTCTCACCTCCGACGTCCTGGACTTCCGAGCTCATCGTTCTCACCTCCGATCAGATCCGGTCAATATCAGTAATCCTCCGGCCCTAATTACAACGTAATTTTGGGGAAATTTTCCTGCGTGATCAGTCAATTTCACTCATTTCTTGTCTTTCCCCTTTATTTCGATTTCAATTTCCTTTTTTTTTCTTTTTTACTTTTTTGATTTGATATTTGATCTTCATGTTAGTAATACTTTTTCAGTTCAATTTGTGGTTATACTGATCTCGAGACTATTTTGTATCTTCAAAGAAGTTGTGAATTTTGTGATGTTCAAAATTTCAGCTGGGTAAGTACATTGGAAATTGTCAATTTAATGAGATTACGAAATTCATTGATATATGCTCTGTATGTCTGAGTTACAGCTGTAGTGTATCATTATTTATGGTTGTGTTTGTGTATGTGTTGGTATTTTTGTATTTATGCAATGTTGATTGAGTATATATATATATATATATATATATTATCATATTATATATATATATATATATATATATATATATATATATATATATATATATATATATATATATATATATATATTATATTATATGAGGAATATGGGTATACTTGGGCCAAGGATCCTTGGTAGTGATGTGGACACATCTTGTCCATACATCACACCTTGAAGTTGGTTGATGCTCCATCTTCAAGGTGTGATGTATGGACAAGATGTGTCCACATCACTACCAAGGATCCTTGTACCAAGTATACCCATTTCTCTCTCTCTCTCTCTCTCTCTCTCTCTCTCTCTCTCTCTCTCTCATATTATATATAATATATATATATAATATATATATTATATATATATATACTTATATATATATATATCACAATTAAAAAAAGAAAAAGAAAAAAACCGCCCAGAAACCGCTTAGGCGCCCGCCTAGGCGTCTAAGCGCTGGGCGCCAAGTCCGGCGCCTAGGAGCGCCCAGCGTTTACATTGGTAACTATCTCATCCTACTTGTAGATAAGGTGAAAAAGAAGTGCTAAATCAGTCATGTAAAATTTATAAATAGATTCCAGGTGGGGTGTACTGGAAGAACTTCCGATGAAAATGAAGAAGTCAGGATTAAGTGAAACCAAATCTATTTAAGGCCTCAAACAAGAGAAGAGAAACTAAAGCATATTTGCATTAAGCACAAAACAAGGCGCAAAATTGGGTTTCTCAATCCTACCTCCCAAATCCTAACCGAAGTACACATTTGCAAAAAAGAAATAACAGGAAAGAAGATAAAAAAATCTAATAAGTGTTTATCTGTTGTGCATGATGCAAACCTTTCCCCACTACCACCAATATCCCAAACACATGGTCCAGCAGAAGAAGCAGTAATGAGTTGTCTTGTACTGTTCATGTGCAAAACTGAATGGATAGTGTGTATAGGATGCCTAGACAAACCATCCATCGAGTACAAATGTCCTGAAGTTTGGCGTAAATCAAACACCAGAAGCATGCCGCTCTGCAGAAAGAAGAACAATAACCACCTTATATCAATTTTTTACCAAGTAAAGTTGAGAGTATATTGGAATATCAAACCTGCAATCCAGCATAAATATGATATGGATTATGGACACCTCCAGAACATGACCAGGCAGGACCCTGGGGGAAAATCATATTAGTTTACCAAGAAAGGTGCTTTGTAACTAAAACCATATCTTTTTAATTCAAAGCATGTTCTCAGAAACCATCCTGTGTAATCTATGTCCACCAAAAGAAAGCAAACAACGAAAAATACTCTGCAAGATCAATTTCTTAGATGCTATTACTATTAAATTGAAGCCATATATAAACATCAAACACAATTATAAACATCAAACACAATAAAGGGTATGGTCCAGTCAAACTTAATTTCTAGGCAATGAGGTTTTTAAGCTTCTTTTAGCTGTAATGTCAAGGAAAAAAAAGCATGTCGTGCAGACTGTGAGAAACTAAGCAATTTTATCACATGACAATCAATAAGCATCACTTGTGAGTGATGACCTGGTACCATAATATATTACACGGAGAATGAAAATTTTGAAGAATGCCAACTTGACAACAGAATGGATCTTTCAAACACTCTCCATATTCTAAGCACACATCAATTAGTGCTTGATGAAGAAGATCTTGACAATTAAGTTCTTCTAGACTCGTGTGAAGAGGTTCTGTTTGGCTCTTGGCTTTATCTGTCTCAGAGTTTCTCTATAGTAAATTTATTATTCCTCCCCTTTTTTAAACTTTATTCAGCCTAGTAGAATTGGAGAGTTGATATCATCTATTCACGTGGACAATTGGTTGTAAGACATTGCCAAAAATTTGATAGAGCCTTGTTCACAGATGATTCCATTAAAATGAGAATTGGTTAAATGATAATGAGGTACTTCCGTATTACCCCGATGTGCCGAAAAGGAATCTTAATTTTCAACAAAAAATTTATACAATAATCAGTCAGTTTCATCAAGCAAACTGCAACAGGTAAGAATATACTTACAAGAAACACAAATGAATGTTTCAAGGGAGGAAGACCAGTGTCATATGGAAAAAGCTAAGAGCATGTTCGGCAACTTTAGTTAATAATCCACTTGGCTTATAATCTACAAATGGCTTATAAGTCAAGTGGATTATAATCCAAAATGTTTGGTAAATTTAGTGGATTATAATCCAAAATGTTTGGTAAATTTAGTGGATTATAATCCACTTCTAAGGGTAGAGTGTTTTGGCAAATGAGTGGCTTATAATCCATCCTTCTTGTCAAAATGACCAAAAAGGGTTGGAGATAAAGAAAGAGACCTTTGGAATTTTCTTAAATGCTTAGGGGCAAAATGGCCTTTTACTTGGTCAAACTATGTGGCTTATAAGCCACCAAAAAATAAGTTGGGTCGGGTTTTATCCCAGCTTATTTTCCTAGCTTAATAAGCTAAAATAAGCTGTTTGACAAACATGTCACGGTGGCTTATAAGCCACTTTGACTAGTTGCTAAACATGCTCTAAAACTCCAGCTTAGTAAAAATAAGATCAATGAGTTGAAGAATTACCGGTAAGTCATATTTGAGTACACAGTTGTTGCTTGCCATACTGAAATGTATACGGGACCTCAGTTAACAACTAAAATTTGCAAACAAAAGATCCGGAGGATAATTGAAATAAGAGCATATGTACCTAACAAGTGATAATCTCTTCCCAAGTGACGCGAGAAGTACATGTCCACTGGGAAGGATACACATATCTCTAATAACCCCGGTGTTGGAAGGAAGCTGAACTTTATCTATTTCAATTGGATTTGGACCTAATAAACTAATCTGCAAAAGAGAGGGAAAGAATTTGAGCATATCAACATTTTCCATAATCATTTCTGTTATAATTAATTTCAAATCATTAAGAAAACAAGAAATGCATTACCTTGCTAAGAACATGCTCTCCAATAAATCCGGGTGCCTTTCCTGCTATTATTAAAATCTGACTGGATGCATCTATTCCAATAACTCGGGCACCATCTAACCTGAACTCCTTCTGTTAAAGAAATACAAGAAATTGAAGATTTAAAGATCCCAGCAAACGAAATTAAAATGCTTCAAAATTTAAACTTAGCAAATAATAGATTACAGAACAGTAAAATAGTTGTCCACATACATACAACATAACTATAGTTATTAATAATTTTCAAAACTTAATTTAGCGAACAGCTACATTACTAAACGCTAGCCAAAATCTTACTTCCATTAAAAGTACGAGTTCGTGAAAATATTTCTATGGTTAATATTACTCTTAGCTTTTTTTAAATATTACAATGTTATCCTAATCTATTCTAATTATCATATCTTCTTTGAATTGATAACTAAATAATTTATTCTATTCATAATGAGATTTAACATGTTATTGGATAAAAGAGAAACGTTTCGCATAATTCAAATCATTTACTTATTTCAGTTTGTAAAGAAATCTAAAAAACATATGCTAGCCAACACCTAAAAGTTTTTGAATTTTGTAGAAAGTTTTTACTTATTGACATTAAAATGAATATGCAAAATTACCAACCCCTAGAAAATTAAAATTTTGTAAAAAATATCATACACCTTTTAAAAGTATAGGTTTGGAAAAAACTTTTCATGGTAAATATTACCCATAACTATTTTGAAAGGAACATAACTAATTAAAAATCTATTAAATTTAAAATTTATAAAAAAACACCCTTAAAGTTTAGTACTTTGCAAATTACCCTCCAAAGTTCTAAATTTTTCAATGATTTTTTGTAATTCTTTGATTTCAATGTAATTTTTAATAGTTTTGTGTATTTATAAATTACAAAATTTTAGGATTATTTTTTTCAATTTTTAAAACTTTTGAGGGTGTTTATTTTATAGTTTTCTAAATTTTCATTATGTTTTTAGTGTAATAAACAGATACGTCAATTAATGATAATATTGAAGAGTAAGTCGTTCTTAAGATTATTAGACCATAGTTAAGTGTGCACATCACTATTCCTAGACAGTATAGTTTATATATGCAAAAAATTTCAGACAATCTATATAGTGGTTAAATTTTTTTTGATTTTAATGTACTATTTTTTATAAATTATATTTAATGTGAAACCACCATGTAATTTTGACTATGATCATCATAATTTTAATACGTTTGATTGATTGACTATATACGCATATAGACCATAGATTACTATACTCTCACATGAGTTAATATTTGGTGCTTAATAATTTAAATTATTACTTTTAAATTTAATATAAAGAGAAGCTCTAATAACATTTATTTATTTAACTACAGCATAATACAATCTCAATTCATTTTTTTTGCTGGAGATTTATTCCATAGTTACGCGTATCAAATTAGTAATTAAAATAATAATTATTTATGTTTAAATTAGGATGATTGTAGTTGGCCACTCACTATAGAATTTTTATGAAAATATATATCTTACTTTCTATAGCTATCTGCACTGTCCATATATATTTTATAAATTAGTTCTTAATTTGACATATTAAATTTACTTTTCCTTTGTAGAAATTTCTTGTTTGACTTTTAGACCGTGTAATCATCATATCATCATTCTAGCATAGAATGGATCTTACTTTAAATAGCTTCAAGTCAATGTTTGAGTTGAACTGAAGTATATACTATTGCTACTATGTGTATATATATTTTTTAAAATCATGCCAACACTTTTTAAATAGAAGAGAATATTCTAACCTCTGATATTATAAAAACTAAATATAGCCAATTGAGTGATTAGCAAAAGAGAACTTACATCAGAATAGTGTCAATAATAAGATAAAGAGGAAAGATAATGGCATTGTCAACAGTCCTACAAGTAGTAAACTACAATGTAAAGTTAACATATTTTGTGGAGCCCAATTACTGGCTATAAACATCGAGGTTTCCATATATATACTTTATAATTTATTAAAAATGTCATATAATCTTATATAGTAAAATTGATTCAATACTGAATAGTAATATCGTTATTAGGAAAAATTCTTCATGAACCAATATGTTCTTTACGATATATAAACTATGCACTCTAAATTTTTACGTCTTTTATAGAGCCAAAAAATTTGAATACAAGACTAACATAGTGCTTTCGCAACAACAAAATTCACTTAGCAGATGTGGATATTCTAGATGAGTTATGTGTCCTATATAGAATACAATTGCCCTAGACAAGTGAGTTATAATAGCATTTTTTATTCACATCATTTGGGGTAAGATTTGATAGGGACCTTGCATCAAAGAAAAAGAATTTTATATTTAGAGCACATTGCAAAATATATCATAATCTCTCTGCTCTAATTTCGGAAAAAAATAATTTTTCATACTTTCAATTTTACTTCTATGATACATAGAATGAGCTAGAAAATTAAATGAGAATATTAGATAATATAAATATGAGTATAACAACAACTAAAAGTTAACGTGAATATGAGTCAAAAGATAATATAAATATGAGTATAACAACAACTAAAAGTTAACGTGAATATGAGTCAAACCACAACTAAAAGTTTAATGGACATATTGCAAGTAAATAATATGAGTCAAACCACAACTAAAAGTTTAATGGACATATTGCAAGTAAATTCATATGCAAAATTCATTTACGAATTGAATGATCACCCATCTTTTGAAGATTTCAAGATACTAATAAATAGAAATGTTGTACTAGATTAATGTGTCTATAACTCACAAATAGTAGATCATGTGGTCACAGACTGGGTTGAAAGAAACAATGATAATATTTTATTTGAGAGAGAGATCATTAAGTTGATCAATCCCACAAAATATTTTGTTCTCTTTTTTATTTTTACTCTACTTTTATTAATTTAAATAATCATAATATTCAACCACGTGCATTGCACATGCATCTCAACTAGTAATAATAATAAAAGACTTACGTTCATGGTGTTCTATTGGAGGAATCAGCCCCACATTTAAGGGAAGGAAATCGGAGAGAAACAAGAAAGTTGTAAACAGAGGGCAAAGGGCAACAAACTTTTAGCACCCAATGCCAAGCCAAAAACTTGAGCAAATGACGTGCAATTATAGAAGCTAGGCTCTTGCAGTAACGCCTCTTATTAAGTCAGAAGAAGCTCAGTCTTAGCTCCTGTTTTACAGCTAAAGCCAGAGGAACAATTAAATAGTAGCACACTACAGCTCCAGGAAATATGAGTTGTTCTCATCAAGAATTTGAAATTGTCAAAAACTGAAGTTAGGCAAGCAATAAACTGAGGGGTTATACTTAAAGATTCAAGTATATGTCCCGCATCCCAAGATTACTGCCAAACATCCTATTCTTAAGATTAGAGTGGGTCACACCATCTTTTAGGTCGTCTTAGGCCCTCAATGTTTACAAATCCAAGAGTTACAAGCAGCTCACCAGAATGGCAAAATCCAGTTCCAAATTTTCTCTTCTAGTTCATTGAATGCATCAGACATCCATTTGCTTTGCAATGTTGATGTATGTGTGCACTTTTCACATTCTTTAGCAGCGAAATAAGATATCATGAATGATTTAAGTACAGTTCTGAATTTGGAAATGCGAAAAAATAGTCCTAAACTTATTGAAACCAGCAATCAACTATATTTTCCATACTTCATAGCCTTTTTTTGGTGAATGATAACAAATTCAACTAAAAAATTATTTTTTAGTCAAAAGATGAAAATTTGATGTGCTTGTTTTGATGAACAAATGAACTAAGAACATTAAGAAGTCCATGAGATGGAATTAAATAGCCAGAGCATTATAGGGTGTGAATAAAAGGGACGGCAAAGGTCTGAAAGATGTGCAGATGGTCATGGGATCCCCAAAATCTACACCAGATAGATGTATGATTAAGGAACAGGAAGAGCCATCATTAACTCTCATCAGAAAGAGAAAGAATGCCTGCATAACTTTCATGAATCAAGAAAGAGAAAATATACCAAATAGAATGACCGATATTGCACCCTGTTAATACCAAAACTACAAGAGAAATAAAATTTCAGGAAAAGAGGAATGAAACTTGAGGGACCAGAGTTGCAAAAAAATGGAAATCGGGTAGGTTGGAGTGAAAAAATTAACTCTCAACCCTCACGACCTCACCTAACTTCAAAGTTTTGGTACATTGAAAATCAAGCATAGCAGCAACCTGGTGTGTATAGGCTAGCAGTTCTATGACTGTGCTACAGTTGTTTTTAGAAAAGTGTTAGGCACGTAGACCAAGTGTAGGCTCATAGTTTATATGCCAAATTCTGCATTTGGTTTGCGTCTCACAGCTGATTAAAGCACTTAATTTTTAGACAAACGGGCTCGTTAAGGTCGAGTTCTAGCCATTATTAAACATTAGATGACTATAACTATTGGTATTTTTTAAGAGATATTTGTAAGAGAACATGAACAGATATGTTAACATAATATGAAATCAATAATAATGCTGACCTGTAAAACAAAGTTGCAGCAACGAGATTCATTTTGACGAAAGTCCTGGGAGACAAACCTGTTCTCTGTACACAAGCCAAATGCAATTTGATGAGACCAGAAACATATGAGGCAAATAACAAGCAGTTGTTTGTACAACAGTGTTTTAAAAGAAAAGACGAGGTCAAGGCGATGAGGTCTTATGTCACCTAAAGCGAGAGATGCCAAAAAAAGGCAATCGTCTGAGTGAATTGAGGCGATAAATATTCAAAAAAATCATAAACATTAGGTAATATACAAATATCAATAAATAGCAATAAGATAAATTAACGACAACCACAAATCCAATAAGTCATAAACCATCTAAATGAAGAAGAAAGTAACAAATACTAAATAGTAATATTAACTAGTAACACATAATTAGTGAGCAAACTTTTAATTTTAAGGTTCAAATTGTGACATGTCCTTCAAAATGATACAGGAAATAAAGGTACATTACCATAAAAATAGTAAAAAATGGACCAAAAAAAAGAAGTACAAATGACAAAAATAAACCTTACTTTATCAAACACCTTTCATACCCTCAAATTTTTGAAATGGAGATAAAGACCTCATGCCTTGCATCTCATGCCTTAGGTGAGGGCGTGAGGCGCCAAGGTGAGATCACAAAGCACCAAGGCGAGGTCATGAGGCGCCAAAAAGCGCTCGCCTTAGTAATCTTCATCGCCTAACAATACACAATGCGCTAAGTTACAAGATCACCTTGCCTGAGTGCCTGAGGGCTAAGGCACATCGTCGCCCTTGAAAAACTGTTATACATTATATAACCCTAAAATTGACCACTATAACAAAGGGATGAACACACCAGGCATACATAATGTAAATAAATAAATAGAAAAAAGAGAAGGAAAAAAAGAAAAAGGAAAAGAAGGTACAATAGCCATTGTAGAGCATTACCAGACAAGAATTGTGCTGAAGAGTTCAATCTCTCATCAGGATATGCACATAGCCTTCTCTGGGACCCTCCTGACGATGCAGGCTCTAACCGTAGCATTTTCTACATAGCAAAATTTTCTTTCAAAGTTTTTTTCCCAAGAAAAAGTCAAATGCAATGAATATAACACCCCAGATGAACAACACATAAGAATTATAGTACATTAAGAAGCATTAAGTATTCTACCTGTCTCCCAGAGCTCGGACAGTTCACAGAATGCATCTGCAAGTCATGAGGAAAATATGGATAAACACCATGGTTGACTAAGATGCATATAATTACTCCGGAAGGACCTTTTATTAAATCAAATGGAAACAGACTTCTTTGAATGATGAATTGACAGCACAACAAAAGATGTTAGATTAAGTTATTAATATATTACAAACTTAGGAGGTGACATGAGCAATAATTCTTCACACAACCAATATGCCACTTATTACCAGAAAGAATTACATGATTTTACCACTATTTAAATATGTAGGACAAGATTCAAGAACATTTGATGACAGTTAACTGCTCCCATAATCAAAAGGCACCAAAAGAAATCTTCTAAGGAGTATTTTGAGAGAGGGAGGATAAAATAGTACCTTATATTTCTTTATTTCCTCTTGCAACCTGGAGTTCTGCAAAGACAAACGAGGAACACAATGTTACCCAAGATGCTGCAAGTGTAAGAACTAGGAGAATTTGCAACATTAATCGATTAGTGTTCATATACTTCCTACATAAGAATACTAAATAGTGTATATGAAATGCCCTTTTCAAATTGACAAAAGAACACCATAAGAAGCGAAGTTTTCAACTGTTTTTCCCCCCGACAATATATACATACTCAGGGAAGGATAGAATCAGCTTAACAACAGTTAGGATCAGTTTTCAATATAATTATTGTAGTGAAAAGAGAAAAAGAATACCAAGGATAATAGATACAAGGACATGTTCGTTGTTAGATACTAATCAAATAAAAGGTAACAAAGAAAATAAGTACTTTGAAAAACAGAAACACAAAAAATGTCTTAGCACAGATGATGCGTACGAGATCCAGGATACCACACAATTATATTTAATTCCCCTCTTAATCGTTCTCATTACTGTTGGGAGCTTTTAATTTCTACGTTTAATATTGAAATAAATCATAATATGACATAGACAACAACCGCATGAATATACACATGCACGCACACATACATGTGGTGCCCATTGTAGGCACATAAAAATGTCCATAGGTTCCCGCACGCAGCTCGAGACGAAGAGAAGATGATGAACGTCATCATCCGAGTCAAAAAGGATTATCCAAGTGGCCCGCACGCTTGTCGGTCAACTTCAAGTGCCCACTGCGCTTGTCGGTCAGTTCCAAGTGCCCGCCGCGTTTGTCGGTCAGCTCCAAGTGCCCGCCGCGCTTGTCAGTCAGCTCCAAGTACCGCAAAGAAGCTAACGAGCGCATGGCAAAGCGTACAAGTCAACAAGACAATCAAATACGCAAAACGGCAGAAAGTATCGCGCCTCGAGTACCCAAAACGTGTTTCATGATAGATTTTTGGGATTTCTTCATTTCTAAGTGTTCCAACTGCTTAGATATCATATTTAAATGTGGATAGGCCGTTGTCAACTGAAGATATGATCAAATCCTTTGTTCTTATCCAAATACCCTACATCCGAAGCCCTATAAATACAAACCTAGGGTCTCCTTGCAAAAGGGGCGAATTATTATCAAGAGGAGGAGGTTCTGCTGGATTGAAGAGTCAAAGAGCACGAAATTTCAGAGGAGGTTAGCTAGATCCCGACAAACTTCGACATAAAGAAGTATTTCGAAGGATCCGAAGCCCCGTACTTCATTTCCTTGAGATTAGGCTTGGTCTTAATCTTGAGAAGAGTATTGATTTCGCTTGGTCGATATCAATACTTCAGCGAATACTTTCTTGGTGAAGTAGGAGCTCTGATCAATTATTCTGTCAACCGGATCCGGTCCGTAGACGGTCCACGGATAAACCCCGGCACAGGCAAAGATCCCACGCAAACAGGAATAGGCGATAAATGTTCTCTGTTGTGTGTTGTTTGAAGGAGATTGTAATTTTCTTTATTTTTTTCATTGTGTAAGATCTTATAAAAAGATCGTCTTTTTTCGGACTTATTGTAACGACTAAAGTTGTAATGAGTTATACAATGAATAAAACAATTTTCAACCCAAACACGCTGGCGACCACAGTGGGAGTCAACAACCTTTCTACGAAGGCTGATGTGTCGCAACCTCGGATCTGCATCTCGATTGAAGAAGTGGTCAAATACGAGTTCGACCAACGGAAATACGAGGAATATCTATCCTCCAGATTCTCCGCCTCTCGCAAGCGCAGGAAGATCAACGTCTCCGTTGTTGCGGTAGCTACACCTTGCAACGCCCCTTCGACCTCCAACAAGGTCGGATCTGCAGATCTGGACTCCTCATCAATCAAGGAGATAACCGCTGGAAGCGCGCCAACTTTGTCAAAAAGAGCTCGCCGAAGGCAACGCCAACGCCTCGCGAGCCAACTCGCTAAGAATTTGGAGCCAGTGGACGGAATCTGTTACAGGATGGATCTGAAATTCAGGGATCACCAAGCGCCCCAACAGCGAGCAAATGGCTCCTCCTCCAAACCAGCAACAAACAAATGGATCCAAGTCAAAAGGACACGTTCAACCCTTGAGGAGCGCATCCAAAAGCGTCGTGCACTCCTTGCACATGCGCGGATTCTTGTGCAGAAGGCCCGAGAGTTGCAGAAACAAGAGGTGGCCAAGGAACAGCAAAACCACGCCGAGTCTGGAGGCCGAAGCTCAAAACAGTGGCCAAAACACCGAAAGAACAAGAGTCATGCCTAGGTGACCCGGCTAGCCGCAGGTCACCAAGAGGTGACCCGGCCGCTTGNCGCCTGTTTATCCTACTCCGGTGAATTCTGTCCCTATTCCAATCGATCCTGCACATCCTGTGAAGCCACGCGGCAGTGTGAACTCATCCAGAGATAAGAAAGCAATGGCGGATCGTCTGGGTCATTTGCACAATGATCAATGTAAAGTTTCGATCAAAAAGCGCTTAGGTCCGGTGACTGAACCCCAAGCAACTCATCAGGCTGGGGGTTGCACTCACCCCCGTAACAAGTCTGAGCCTTCTCGTAAAGAGAAAACTCTCATACTGATCGCCTCGGACTGTGAGTCATTGTCCAAGAGCCCGTTGAGGTCCCCTGCTCACGAAAGTGTGGCTCCAAACATGACTCTTGAGAACGCCAACAATGCAGCAAGTTCTTAGAAGGAAACGTGTTTGTCAGACGACGACGTTATACCTGAAAAGTCATGTCAACACACGATAGATAGCTCTGGTCATCATGTCAATGAGTTGTACTATCAGGCTGGGGTACGAACAAATCTCGAAAGAGAGATACCCGAAAAACGGACTTTCATTGTCCGTGTGCCAAACTTATCAATGCAGTATTATCAGCGTGTAGTTACCCCAGGACCGCTCCACAGAAGGTCTCGGTATTCCAAAGGCTTTCCTCTGAAGCATCGAATACTAAGCCAAGACATTTCCGCAAGAAACAATCAGCCGTTCAAAATGACGAACTTCCAAAAGACAATTAACATGGCTGATAGAGGAAAATCAACTCGACATTCTAGTTCTGACTCGCTCATATCGCATCGTCTAACCCGGTTACGAGCGGGAACCATTAGACAAAGAGATTATCAGAGAATGCGGAGGGGATTATCCTCGGATGATGAAGCATCGATGCCAACGCTGTAATCGCTTCTGATAATACAGTATCCAACCCAGGATAATCCCGTGACGCACTTATGATCAACACCGAGCAAATCATAAAAATCATCGAGGATGCTTTGGCTAAGCAAAAAGAGAACTTCAAGTTCAAATTGAAAATGGCCATGATGCGGATGAAGGAAGAGCATGACCAATAGATTCAGGCTTTATCCAATCAACTTGGTGAATCCAGCCGTCGTAACATTGCTAACCAAGCAGGTAGCGATTCAGATGTAGACGAACACTTCGATGAAGACAACCATCTGGTTGACTAAAACGCTGGGGGTGACCCTACTGAAGACAATAACGCTGGGGTGATCCCACCGAAGATGACAATGCCAGAAATGGTCGCGTTGTTCCTTTTAGAAATCGTCCAAAGCATGATACAGACAAGGACAAGAAGATGAAAGATCTCGAGAGAAAAATCAACGTTCTGATGTCTGCTCGAGAGGTAAAAAAGACCGGTATTTCGTGTCCTTACCCAAGAGAATGGGAGTCAATCCCGTATCCGACGAAGTTCAACCTGATCAACTTCACACCGTTCAACGGGAAGGGCTCCCCTACTCAACACTTGATTTATTTTAAGTCCTACTTAGGAGTGATCTCTGGCAACGAGTCTTTGATAGTCCGCTCATTCGGTGGCACCCTTCGCATGTCTGCCTTCGATTGGTACCGTTGTCTCAAGCCTGGAAGCATCAACGGCTGGGACGACATGAAAAGCTCATTCCTCGGTAATTTCTTTGATGATAACGCCGAGGTATCCATCAGGACACTCTTTGAGGAGAAACAGGAAGATGAAGAAACGGTCGACGAGTTCATCAAGCGCTTCCGAAATAAGACGATAAATTTTCAGAGATCCAGTCACAGATGACTCCATCCTCCAAACCTATCATAACAACCTATTCATTGATATTTTAAAAATTATGGGAGTATCACCGCCCAACACCTGGAAAGAGTTGAAGGTGCGCGGAGAGCAAGCCGAACGCTTCCTCAGAGGGAAGAAAGCCAAAAGAAGTCAACTGACGGCTAACCCTCCGAACTCAAGCTTTGTCTCACGTGATAAAGGGAAGGCACCTACAACAGTTGTTAACGTTAATCATACATCGTAACAACCCCGAAAACAGCAAAAGACTTCGGATCCGAAACTCCAAAAAGAGTACTCCTTCAAGGACAAAGATATTCCAACCATTTTCGAATCCCTCCTTAAAAACAACAAGATCAAACTACCACATATCGCAAATCAAAAAGAAGCTGACAATACTGCGGATCCAAAGTACCGTGCGTACCATAGGAGGATTTTTTATCCTACCAATGCTTGCTTTGCTGTTAAAAATAGCATCCAAACCTTGGTTGAAGCTGACGTCATAACGCTAAATTAAACCGAATGCACTCTGAAAAGTATACGAGTATAAACTGTTTCTCAATCCTCCAACAGGTGCATGAGGATAAACTGCTCCATGCATACTCCAACAGATATATGAGTCTAAACTGTTTCCTTTCTTTCACGGGAAGTTCCTGGAGAGTGTCATGCCTAGTATTATTAAGGATAACCCGGTCATCCAACTAAGTATAATGTTACACCCGGTTTCGCAAAGAAAGCTAGGGATAGATGATTCATGTAACGGGAAGTTTCCGAAAGAATGCTATATAGTGTATTCTTAGGGATAACCCGGTCACTATAAAGAAGTGATAAATGAGAAACTCCCACTCGGACTCTGAACGCTCAAGAGTGAAACGCATCCAATTGCCGAGATTAATTTCACCAACTTCCAAGCACTCTTTTGTTGAGACGAGATTCGATCACTTCGTCGGATCAATCTTCCCTCACAAAACACTTCCACTGGTGTTTGATGATTCACAATCTTCTACCACAAAATCCCTTACTGATCAAATTAATTGACGGTGGGTCCACTAAAATTCTTTCTGGTTTAATCCACTCAACCTCTCATTGTGTCTGTGCACTCAACACTCCCATTTTTAGAGTCCAGATATAATGCTTAGAATTTTAGTCTACTAATTTTTGATAATTGTCGAACCCCTTTGTATTAAGACCTTATCACTTGACACCAAGAACCCCTACTGAGTGATTTGTACAAATCAATACTCCCACTGTGATTTGCACTCCCACTCTCACTTGGTCAAACCTTTAAATAGTTAGGACCACAACCAAAATCCCCTCTCAATTTTTTCCATGAACGAGAGATCCACTTTTAAATCGAGTGATCAAACCTTCCTACAGTTAGGATCGCCTCAAACTCCCACTTGGTCAAACCTTCCTACCATTAGGGTCAAAACCGTAATTCACTCTCGATAAACGAGAAATACACCTTTAGTTCGGTAATTAAACTTTCCGACAGATAGAATTATCCGAATCTTTTCGATTCTCGGAGTGGATATCTCACTCTTAGTTTCACCTTCCCGGATTCTTGAAGTGGAGATTCCACTTTGACTTTCCTTTGCAACTGGAGATAGAATATAAAATTCTTCCTCTTCACCTTCGGGAGATGGATATAAAATTCTCTTCCGTATTGGGTTTGTTTTTACCCCAAAAAAAGACCTGGAGATAGAATTTAAAATTCTTCCTCTCCAGCATCGGGTTCGTCTTTGTCCCAAAAGAAGACATCATCTTTCAACTCCAAAATTCATGCTTCACACATATGGGAAATTTTATTCTGAATCCTAAGTAGGGATAAGTTAACGCCTAATACGCGTTGTCGGTTTAGTCTTTCGCCGAATGAAAAAGACACCAGAATTCAAGTCTAGAAAATTTTATCCTGAATCCTAAATAGGGATAAGTCAACGCCTAACACACGTTGCCGGTTTAGTCTTTCACCGATTAAAAAAAACACCAAAATCCAAATCTGGGGAATTTTATCCTGAAGCCTAAGTAAGGATAAGTCAGCGCCTAATACGCATTGCTGATTAGTCCTTGACCGTAAAAATAACAAAAACCCACATATTCGATATTATGACAGGTTGTTATTAATAACACCATAATCCGTGCCTTACACGTATGGGGAATTTTATCCTGAATTCTAAGAAGAGATAAGTCAACGTCTAGTCTTTCACCGATTGAAGAAGACACCAGAATCCAAGTCTGGGAAATTTTATCCCAAAACCTAAGAAATGATAAGTCAGCGCCTAACACGCGTTGCCGGATAGTCTATTCCCGTAAGAAAGACGAAATCTACGTATTCAATATCGTAGCACTAAGAGAGTTAACTCTCTCTATTCCCGTAAGAAAGACGAAATCTACGTATTCAATATCGTAGCACTAAGAGAGTTAACTCTCTTAGCACAACGTTACATGTGAAAATATTCAATATCGTAGCACTAAGAGAGTTAACTCTCTTAGCACAACGTTACATGTGAAAACGGGTTTAAACGGTTCAGATGCTAGCCCGATTCAAACGGTAATCGGTAAAGACACATCAAACCCGTTGAAGGCTGAAAGTTTGCCAAAAATCCTAAAGTCTACGCCTAACACACGTTGTCGTTTAGTCTTTTCACGTAAAAAAGATAAAGTCTACGTATTCAATATCGTAGCACTAAGCACAACGTTACATGTGGAACGGACTTGAACAATCCGTATGCTAATCCGACTCAAACGGCAGTCAGTAAAGCCTCATCAAATCTGTTGCTGACTGAGGGTTTACCAAAAATCCTATATATGCGAAAATCACTGACGCATTAGCTTCATTAGTTGGTCTCGTGACTTGAGCATCCAACAACTTCGGGATAAGATTCATACCTGCAGACGAAACAACTTTAATAGTTGGTCATGCAGTCCGAAATTTAGGACCGCCTCGCTCCAATGTCTTAAGAACTTAAACTGTGTAGACTCTAGCAAACATACGAGTATAAATTGTGTTAACGCCGAACAACGCGTTACAGTAAAGGTCAATGCCGGGCAACGCATCGATAATGTCGCCAAATTAAAATTAAGAAAAAATTCTAGGTTAAAGGATGATTCTAGCGAGTTCAATCACATTCAGGTACTAATTCCCGACAAAGATGATCAAGTTCAACGTCAACTCAATGACACGAACTAAGTCCAGAAACTTACACACCAATTTTAGTTCAAGACTTCAACAACGGTCAGACGATAAACACAACGTCAGAAGAACTTCATCTATTCGACAAAATACTGAATAGACTGAAGGCTGAAGAAGTCAAGAATTGAGGCAATTCATAGGTCCTTTTATGCGATCTCCTCAATGAAATACTAAAGAGTCTGTCTTATCCAAAGCATTCCAGACTTTTCTATAAAAAACATGAGTCTGAAATACTTTAGAGGTGGTATCTATAGACGTCTAAAAATACTCATAGGTTCCCGCGCGCAGCTCGAGACGAAAAAAGACGATGAACGTCATCATCCGAGTCAAGAGGGATTATCCGAGTGGCCCGCACGCTTGTCGGAGCTGGTGGCCCGCACGTTTGTCGGTCAGCTCCAACTGCCACCATGCTTGTCCACTGCCCGTCGTGCTTGTCGGTCAGTTCCAAGTGCCCGCCACGCTTATCGGTCGCCTCCAAGGTGTCCGCCACACTTATCGATCAGCTCCAAGTGCCCGCCACACTTATCGGTCAGCTCCAAGTGTCGTAAAGAAGCTAACGAACACATAAAACAAGTTAGCGAAGCGTACAAGTCAACAAGACGATCAAATACGCAAACGACAGAAAGTACAAGTTTCGAAAAGTCGCAATCAAATACGCAAACGACAGAAAGTACAAGTTTCGAAAAGTCGCAAAGTGCCAAAGAGTTCAGCCGAGGTGGCTAACCCGCCCCAACGCGGGACAGCGCTGGCTAACCAGCGCCAACAGAGACAGTGCTGGCTGACCCACATCAGGCGCGGTCAACGTCGGCTGACCCGCGCTGGCGCGGGTCAGTCTTGACTGAACCCGCGCCCGGCTGCCGGGTCAGCACGAGCTGTCCTGCGCCTAGTCCAAGACGACAGCGTCTGTCGCACGCCTCGAGTACCCAAAACATGTTTCCGGATAGATTTTTAGGGTTTCTTCGTTTCTAAGTGTTCCAACTGCTTAAATATCATATCTAAACGTGGATAGACCGTTATCAACTGAAGATATGACCAAATCCTTTGTTCTTATCCAAATACCATGCATCCAAATCCTTATAAATACAAACCTAGGGTCTCCTTGCAGAGGGGGTGAATTATTATCAAAAGGAGGTGCTGCTGGATTGAAGAATTAAGGAGCACAAAATTTTAGAGGAGGCTAGCTAGATCCCGACGAACTTCGGTATAAAGAATGAGTATTTCGAAGGATCCGAAGCCCTGTACCCCCTTTCCTTGAGATTAGGCTTGGTCTTAATCTTGAGAAGAGTACTAATTTCGCTTGATCGATATCAGTACTTCAACGAATACTTCCTTGGTGAAGTAGGAGCTCTGATCAATTATTCTGTTAACCGGATCCGGTCCGTAGGCGGTCCACAGATAAACCCCAACACAAGCAAAGATCCCACGCAAACAGCAATAGGCGATAAACGTTCTTTGTTGTGTGTTGTTTGAAGGAGATTGTAATTTTCTTTATTTTTTTCATTGTGTAAGATCTTATAAAAAAATCGTCTTTTTTCGGACTTATTGTAACGACTAAAGTTGTAATGAGTTATACAATGAAGAAAATAATTTCCGACCCAAACACCCATATATAGATTACATGTGCACCCCCTACCCACATACATTGACTATTACTGAAACAATATTAAAGACCTCATAGCACTAAAAGAATTTACATACTAAAAAATGTAAAGAGTGAGAAACAAGGAGAGATTGAGAAGGAACACTGTCATACTCATAAATAATATAACTAAGATCAAAACCATTGATGAACAAGAATGCTAACGTAGTAGGTTTTTTGTCTCCGCGATATTTGTATTTTACGTACCCGTATCAAAGTAATGTAATTAGGAACAGAGATTCTCCATCAAAAAAGTTTGTTGGAATAATGATATTAATTCTTATTTGATCTAACTTACATTTCGTTATTTTCAGCACAACAACGACAAAGCCTTTATCCCAAATGTTTGGGGTCGTCTACATGAATCTTATTATTCCATTCTGTTCGATTTTTGGCCACCTCCTCCACAAAGTTAATCATTATCATATCCTTCTTAATTGTTTTTAACCAAGTTCTCTTATGTCTACCTCTATATCCCTTTGCTCCAATAACTCTAATAAAACTCAAAACCCAGATTTGCAAACCCCCCCCCCCCCCCCCCCTCCTCCCTCTGCAGGCGTGGTGCGGGTGCACATGTGCGCTAAGGTTTACTAGATCTGGTTGTCCATTTTCCTTTACTGGGCTCTATTGTGTTTGCAGGACTAAAACATTATACTAATGCCTAGAAAGAGAAAGGGCAATAAAACGAGTAACATGACAAGAGTGTACCGTGAAGAGGAAAAAAAAAGACGGAAACATGAGAAGATCAATTATCACTAAGGATATAATAGAAAAACGATCAAGTGCCATAATACCTCCAACTTAAGGATTTCATTTTTTTCGCATAAAGATAGCAGTTCCTGCACAAATAAGGGTCATCTATCAGTGAAATACCATCGTAATATATAAATGGAACACTGAATGATATATAACCTTCTCTTTATCATCATGTGGAACCACAACCAGAGGTGCATATAAGTTAATAATCTCCTTTTGCTTAAACTTTCTATTACATTGTGGACACTGCAAAAACACATACCGAATAGCCATCATAAATAACTGTACCAGTAATTATGTTGTCAGTGAGCTCAGGTGCATCAAAAAATATCAAATTTCAATAACTAGATGAATGGATACCTTTCCATCACTCTTTCGACATCGCCGTAGCCATTTCTCTAAGCAGCATTTACCATACACGTGTCCGCAAGGAATACAACTACACAAAGATAATTGATCTATTAGATAATATTAATTTGTACAAACAGACAAATGCTAGAAAATGGGCATAAGGAAAGGAACGAAAATCATAGAATTACATATTGCAAACTCCTTTGCATACAACATAAACTAAACAGAATCTTCAAGTATAGATAATAAATATCATGTCATGCTCCGATAGAAAAATAGTTGGCTATGGAATCCAACTCTTAAGGCATGAGTGATAAATGGTGACAGAAATCTAGAAAAGGTCTGTGACCATACGAGTAAGAGATTTTTTTCCGGAGGCCACTGAAGAATAACTCGAGCTCCACAACTATTCATGAGGGTTATAGAATTTGACATCAGGATTCAGACATGCCTTACATAGAGATGGATAGGAAATTAAACACTTGTCATTCTCCTAAACAACTTTTTAAAATCTTAGGACTTCTAGAAATCAAGCAAACTCAGGTCAATTTTATGCAGTCTTAACCATCTCAAACAACTCCCCGCAATTTTTATGCAATCAATGTAACCTCTACTTGATACGAGACCCTATCTTTATTCATTTATTTATTGCGATTTGCATGGCAAATCAATAGCATCATTTTCACTACGCCACACATAAATTATTTGGACGTGTCATCTCTTAATTGGTGACTTTATAGGTAATGGTTTTCTCCGCATAATAAGTTCAAGTTCAATCCTTTCCTTCACATTACTCAAATTAAAATGCATATGAACGAACTCTATTCGAATCTATCAAAAAGAAACCCCGATCCAAACATACCAGACTCGATGAGGACCTTCAGAGGTCCAAGGCTCCATACAAATCGGGCAATTTGCAGTCGCCGGCTGATCCAACTGCGACTCGCAACCACTCTTCCCCTTCCCCAATTCCCCATTCTCCTCTCTCTCCTCCTCCTCCTCCTCCTCCTCCTCCTCCTCCCCCTCTTCTTCACCTTGATCTTGATCCAACCCCTCGTTCGCCGGAATCTCTATGATCTCAACCTCCGGCGAATCTCCGGCCGCCGCCTGCTCGCTTAGGGTTTCGTCACCTGGAACGTACTCCTCATCCTCATCGTCTTCATCATCTTCATCTTCGTCGTGTTCTTCTTCTTCCTCCTCCTCGTGATCCGATGGTAGAGAAGGATTCGACGCCATTGGTTAGAATCTCCGATGGCGCGAAATGGAGGGAAATCGAAAATATGGAGAGGATTTTTGAGATTAATAAAAGATGAAAGGAGGGATGGACTCGGGTCACAGAGTCACACACTCACACTTGGGGCTATTTATCTAGCAGCATTAACGGGTCGGGTATTGAGTGGGTAAACTATTCGGACATGCCCAAATCTGAATGCGTTAGTCACCTAGAACTTAAAATTGGAACTGGGATAATCTATGAGATAAATTTTTAAGATATTAGTCACATAGAACTAAAACTAGAATAAAATTTTACAGTGTTAGTCAAATAGAACTCTAACAAATTTAGAATTGGGATAATGATACAAAATTATCCCTTTTTTTCATTTTCCTATACAAAAATGAGAGTTTTACTCTCTCAAATTATTCCAAGTTTTAGCTTGGAACTAGGTGGTAAAAAACTAGAACTCATATTTATTTTGTTATTTTTTATTTTTTATATTTCTTCTTTTCTCTACTTCTTCCCTATTATGGTTATCACCATCATTAGACCATCATTATAATAATAACTGTTAATATCTTATAGTCTAACCAAAAGTTATTTAATAGTAAAGAACATTCTTGTAAGGAATTATCAATCAATAATAGTAAGTTTAAAATACATAAATAGTATTTATATCTTCAAAATGCATAAATATATATATTTCATGATTATAAAAATTTATCCCACGTTATCTTATCAAAATATCCTGCTTCACAAAAAATTTACTATTTATCCCACTAAAACATCCCTCTAGCTAAAAATTATTCCACTTTAAGAATTATCCCATTTTGCATAAAAATGTCTCAATTGACTAACACCTCCTAAGTGTGGATAATTGTTTTAATGGAATAATTTTATCCTTTTGGGATAATTTAAGTGGTGTAAAGTTAGACAATTCGGGATAATGAGAAAATTTAAGACTATTATATTTAAGACTATTGATTAATATAATAAAGTATAATATTATACCTACCACAATATTGACAACATATTATAGACCATTGATATTATAGAAAACAGTATAATTAATATATTAAGACTATAATTAATATTGACAATATATTAAGACTATTATTTAACATTATACCTACCACAATATTGACAGTATATTTAAGACTATTAATTAATATAATATAATATTATAGAAAATAATAAATTATTATATAATAAATTATATTATAATATAATTAATATATTATTATATTAAATATATAAGCACTATATTATAATACAATATTTTATATTATAAAAATACTACAATAATATTTTTATTCTAAATAATAAAAAATATATTAAATAATATAAAGTAATATTATAATAGTATAATACTAATATTATAATATATAAAATATTATTAACCAATATGTAATAATGATATATAATAATGTTATATCAAATAATATTATATAATATTTTATTATCTTACTTATAATAAAGTTTTATAATATAATATAATTAAGATATATTATATATTACAATACAATTAACATATATTAGATATTTAATAAATTAGTGTTTTAAAATTATCCCATTATCCTCATGATTGTCCCAAAGTTAAGAATGATGTAATTTTTGGAAGTTAAAACAAAAAGTTTGTATTGAAGTGAGATAATTTTCAAAAAAGTGGGGATAATTGTCTCATATTCGAATAACACCTTCAAGTGAAATCCAACTCCCATTGTCCTAATGAATAACACCATAAATAAAGTCCCAAAAATTATCCCATTTACCCCAAAATTACACCAACCAATAACCCCCCTAGTGAAACGCTGAGGGCTTTACCTAATGAAGTAGTTGATTTGTAAAGAACTAGTTTCCCAAAGGGATTTTTTTTAAAAAAGATCTTTTTTGCTAAATAATTAGCAAAATCGATCATTTTGCTAATTATTTAGCAAAATCGACATCTTTTTGGCCAACATGCCAAAAAGAGGTCGATTTAAAAAAACAACCTACATATAGGACTAGTAGTCCCGTATGTTTAGTCGCCATTAATTGGCGACTAATCACGCCACAAAAATCTACATGACTACTAGTCTCGTAGATTTCAAACCTACTACAAAATGTCTTCTCAACTCCCCCATACTTCTTCCTCAACAAATTTTAGGATCATTTTCTCTAGTTCCCATTAACACGGTTGAGGCTCACAGGCCCATTGCCAGTATTTAAAAAAAAAAAAAAGCTTAGTCGGGTATTCTCCAAGGCTTCAATTGAGATATTCTATCCTCTGAACTTTTTTGCATTTTTGTGTTCTCCCCATTTTGAGCCAAAAAATGGGGCATAATTATGCTTATTTGACTTATAATAGAACTGAAATCTACGAGATTAGTAGTCTCAAAGATTTTTTTGACGTGATTAGTCGTCAATTAATAGCGACTAAACATACGGGACTACTAGTCCCGTATCCGTATATTTCGAACAGACTGTTTTTTAAGATCGACCTCTTTCTGACTTGTTGGTTAAAAAAAGTTGATTTTGCTAATTATTTAGAAAAAAGTCTTTTTTTTAAATTCCCGTTTCCCAAA